TCCGCGCCTCCCGGCTGTTGTTGATCTTGTGTTGATGCCTGCTCCTGGTCAATCGAAACATCCTCCTCGTCATCCTCATCATCGTAGACGCCGTTCATACCAGAGGGCGCGTAGAGCCAGGAAGAGGGTTCCGGTTGGGCAATTGCAGCCGAGGATGGCGGTGGACAGGTCTGGAGGTAAGTAATCACACTGGGAGCTGTCGCCAAGCCTTTCAGGTAGGGAATCAAGTCAAGCAGGGCGGTATCACAGGGGTCGTCAAACCAGGAAACAATTTGCAGCTGAAAGGAGGATAAAGGAAGCGACCTTTAAAATTATCTGCAGAGTTGACAGAAACTGTCTGTGCTGATTGGAGCATCTCAAAGACGGGTGGAGGAACATAGGACTGGAAGGCAAGACCTTGATGTAGAGGTTTATCAGACTGTTCTTGGGAAGCTGAGCATTTAATTGGCCTTCGATATCGATCTTATGGTCAAGTTGTGAGTCAGTTATCTGAAAATCTTCATAAACAATAGTCGTACTGGACTTCTGTGTTGCACCAAGGGGTTCTGATGTAAATGCAAGTTATCTACGCACTGAACGGGAGCCAATAAAAGTTAGGCGTGTTAGAAACCAGAAGGTAAGGTTACAGAATGGTAAGCATTAAGCTACCTTTCCCTTACTCCCGGAAGCGCGTTGATTAATGACAGTCCATAACCTGACTACTCCAACACCGACCGGGTAGTCTATTGTACTCTTTAACTTGCTTGCCGGAAAAGATGGTTTCAATCATACTGCCATTCTTTTTCCTCCCGTTAAGATTATTCGATATTATCAGGCCATGGTTTCAAGATTTCGGCCATCAATTGAATTATTTGAGTAACTGAGTGCACTGGAAAAAGAACTTTATTCGCCCGACATTTCGGATTCATGCTCGAACCCATCATCAGAGACAACATCACATCAGTTTTTTTAAATATAGTGAAGCTACGGGTGGCGAGCAGCTCCATCTACGAACATTTCAAGTAACGAGCGAGCAATTCGATTGACGAGCTTCCGCCCAGTTAACGAGTTGTCCGCGTGTGTGTGTGTGCCTGTGTACGCCGTTGAGTTTTGCTCCCAGGTGGATCGTCGGTAGCCTGCAGCTAATCAGTGAACTGATGCAGTTTGATTGCCTACGTTGCATAAGAGAAGCGTTTCAGATGACGAGCTAGATATTGGAACGAATTAAACTCGTTAACAGAGGTTCCACTGTATTGTTGTTTGGCAGGAGGGCGTAGTGTCTATCCTATTTTATCAGCTTCAAAGTCCTCGTTGCTCGTCCGTTACTAATAGTTCGATAAGCGCCTTGACTATTGACCGGTTGAGAAAAATTGCACAAACATCCGTGAGTGTATTTGAGGATGGCATGAAGTTCAGTGGGCGGCGCACGTAATTGTTTCATAAACAACTGATTACAAGTACCTGTGTCCTAAACCTACACTGAGCTTTGCACCGATGTGGCATGTTGACGGAAAAGGCCAGCGTTCGTCTCGTGATAAAAAAGAACATGTAAACAGTACGAATTTTTAGCGCCATGTAGAAAATGAGAAAATTGGTCCTCGCAAAGTATACAAAGTTCACTATGAATGTCTTTCATATAGAGGGCACTCAGCGTTAACCAATTAAACCTAAGGTGACTCGAGAGTATACTTCACTTATAACGCACCAAAGGCTCCCTTGGCCAGTAAGTAAGCACTACTACATTACAAAAATTCCGCACTTCATGCAAATGTTAGCTGGAGATGATCCGTTCACTCTCCTTAGTAGAGCGGAAAGGGCCAATTAAATGATTTCCCTCTATTCCCCCTCCGCAGGGGCGGTATAACCTCCGTCTGAAGAATCTCCGGGACTAGGAGGCTTGTCCATCAGCCTACTTGTTGGCTATCCACGCGTGCAGCAGTGATGGTGCCTACGGAGAGGACCTCTGACAGACTTTAAATGCACAAACTTTCAGGCCTGACAAATAAACAGTCCGGGACTGTGCAGCGGCAGCCC